TATATCTTAGCCAGTACCAGATTGTTTTGATGATTACTGCTTTCTAATATGGTCTGAAATCTGCTACTGTTAAGCTACTTTATTTCACATTTTTTTCTCCATTGATCCCCTTGATATTAACCTTTTATTCTTCTAGATGGATGTTGTTGTTATTTTTTCTAGCTCTATAAAATGATTTTTTGGCTAGGCAATGGGGTTAAGTGACTTGCCCAGGGTCACACAGCTAGTAAATGTTATGTGTCTGAGGTTGGATTTGAACTCAGGTCCTTCTGAATCCAGGGCCAGTGCTCTATCTACTGCGCCACCTAGCTGCCCTGATTTTTTGGCAATTTGATTGCTATGGCACTGAATAAGTAAATTAACTTAAGTAGAATTGTCATTTTTATTGTACTGGCTTAGCCTACCCATGAGCAATTAATATTTTTCCAATTACTTAGATCTGACTTTATTTGTATGAAAAGTATTCTGTAATTGTATTCATATATTTCCTGCTTTGTTTTGGCAGGTAAATCCCCAAGTATTTTCTATCACTTGCAGTTATTTTAAATGAAATTTCTCTTTTTATCTTTTCTTGCTAGCCTTTGTTGGTAATATATAGAAATACTGATGATTTACATGGGTTTATTTTATGTCCTGCTACTTTGCTGAGTTGTGAATAATTAAATTAGGATTTTTACTACACTACCCTAAGGTTCCTTCTAGCTCTGAGCTCATGATCTGGTCCTAAACAGGAGAGGGAAACAGCAGAGGCCCACCGGCCATCCTCTTGGAGGGAAAGGAGGGGGTTAATGGAGGCTGGGCTAGGGGAGAAGGAGGGGTTAATCCAGGGACTCTGAAGACCAAACCTTTCCTGCTGGGAGGGGAGTAGGGGATGGGCTACTTTCTGCCTCAGTTCATTCTGCCCTTCCAGTCTGCCTGCATCTGTCTGGTGTCCCCTTGCACCACTCCTAATCTCCTTCAGAGAGGTGAGTCTCATACCCTTCCCACCATCCCCTTGGGGCAGGAGGGCTACTGGACATTGGCTTGGGGTTGGGGGAGGCAGAGCTGCTGCCTCAGCAGTGAGAATTCTGAGGTCCGGATACTGGAAAGAACCAGGGTAATGGGGAACATGAGACCCTTAGATAACCCCCGTTCTGATGCGTCTGCAGTTGGCTCTGAATGGAGCAGAATGGACTGGCTGGGAGGAGAGGGAGTGGGCAGTTAAGTATTTTGGGTCCTATGATTAGGAAGAGCCAGTAGTTTGGGGCTTTTTATAGCTCAATCATTAAAGCCTAGAGGCTCCCTGGAGAGGGCTTGGAAGGGGAAGGGGTAGCTACAGGTCTGCCCTCGCCAAGTACCCTGGGTTCCAGACCCACTAGCCCCTTTAGGGCCCCTTCAAGGTCAGTCTTGGGGTTGGATTTGCTGGATTCTATGCTGGTGCTGAACTGTGTCCTGCAGCCCCCACCCCCACCATCACCCCGACCCCGGATCCCTCTGGGTTTGAAGTGCACCCTTTCTGATAGTGGGGGAGTTAGAGACAGCTGAACTGGGAGCGCTTAACTTCCTACCCAACTTCAGTTCGTTGCCCCCCCAACCACTTGACTCTCTGTGCCCCCACCTTACTAATCTGTGTTTCTTTGTCTCCTCTGTATTTGTGTGTGAGTCCTCTTCCCTTCCCCTCCCCCCTCCCCTTCCCCGGCAGCTCTCCTCTTGGGGTCAGGGTCTGGGAGCTTTGAAGAGGGAAAACTGGGGAGGCTGGACAGGGTGCTTTCGGAGGGGAGACACTCTGCCTATTTGTCTTGTTTGGGCCCTGTTTCTCTTCCTGTCTGGCTGGGTCATCATAGGCCAACACGTCCCTTGCTGCCCTTTCCCTATGCCCCACACAGCTCTCCAAGTCTCATCTGTTCCCCCCCCCTCCTCCCCAAAGCTGGTGGTAAAGGGACAGGATGTGAGGATTTGAGCCATGTGGGTGGGCAGGTCACTGTCCTACTCAGGAGCCCTGGGGGCTGCTTCTGGACCTGTCAGGAATTGATTTACAGCCCCTCTGCCCAGCTGACCTCCCTCTGCAGAAACCCAATTGGGAGTGGGGTGGCTGGGAGGTCAGGTTAGGGGGTCACAGGGGCTCTATGATTCCCAGAGAGGCAGCATGCCCAGAATGCATAGCTTTGGGGTGGGAAGATGACCAAGGGGTTCCCAATTGATGTATAGCATCACCAAGGGGCTGATGGCACAATGGACCCAGAAAGAGGAAAATGAGTTAGAGCAGTAGGGATGAATATTAGAGGTGGGGGGCAAAGGGTGGGTTTGGGGATTATAGGATTTAGAACTGGTCAGGTTGGTGAAGATGAGGAAAATGAGGCTAAAAAAGGAGAAGAGGACTTTCCAACAGGAAAGAGATATGAGATATGATGTCTAAACAGGAAAACCATTGGCCCCTGGCTGGAGTGAGGAAGAATGAGGAATCTGTCTGGAGGCAGAGGACTGTATGAGTTGACCCTAGTGAACTGTTCCCTTCCCCTCCTTCAAATGTCCAGGAAGGGCCTGGGCAGGCCCTGGCCAGCTATGATTACTAGAGGCTCCCGCCCTGTGGTTACATCCTGACCTCAGCTGGCTGGAGGCAGGAGGCAGGAGGCAGGAGGGGCCCTGCTGGGAGAGTGACTGAGCTTGGGAGCCTGGAGTGTACAGCTTTGTCTTGGCCTCTGGAGCTCTGGGGCTGGGAAGAGGTATTTTTTCCGGTTGAAGCCACTTTGGGGATTTGGGCTGGGTCAGGCCTTGGAGGATGGGAGCCATCTCTCTTTTTTGATTTTCACTGAGCCCAGCTCAGGAATGTGGCCTGATGATCTGGAAGGACCCTGCTCAGTGTGGGGTGTCTGGGGAGAGTTGGGGGTCTGGGTCCCTAGTCATCTGGCCCAGGCTCAATGCCTAAGCACCCTGGCCACTTCAGCCTGGCTCCAGCTCCCTGTCTTTAAAGGGGGCAGTACAGCATGGTTGGAAGAGCCACGGACAAACTTGGAAAAAAACCAGGTTCTAACCTTGGTTCTGCCACTGACGAAGTCAGTGACCTTGGGCACAGAGTCACTTGGCTTCAGTTAACTGAGGCACTTGTACTAGGTGGCCTCTGAGGGCTTTTCTGACTCCCCATGAATGCTCTCTTGAAGAGCCTAGAATTTTAGGCAGGTCTACCTGCCACTTTTTGATAGTATCTTTTCTCCTTCCCACAGTCCATAACTAGGGCCACTGCTAGTCTCTGGTGGCCCATGGGGCATTGCTCCCCTCTGCCCTGCTGAGATGCATTCCACTTCACTGGCCACCCCATCCCCTACCCGGACTCCCAGCGCTGTAGAGAGGCTAGAGGCGGACAAGGCCAAGTATGTCAAGACCCAGCAGGTGATCGCCCGGCGTCAGGAGCCAGCCCTTCGAGGGGGAGCGGGCCCCCTGACTCCTCACTCCTGCAATGAGCTGGAGTCCCCACCCTCACCGAGGCCTCTTGGGCCAGCCCGAAGAGGTAGCGGCAAGCGGCTTCTGAGGCCCGACTCCCTTATCATCTATCGGCAGAAGCGGGACTGCAAGGCAGTAAACAAGGAAAATGCCAAGGGGCAGAGCCTGGTGCGACGACTCTTCCAGGGAGGCCCCCAGGATTCTCCTGGAACGCCCAGCCCAGTGGAGCGTGTGGCCCCAGTTCCCCGAGCAGGATGGGCCACAGCTGGGAAAAGTCCAGGAGCCCCTCAGCCCACATCTCCTGAGTTGGGCAAGCGAGCCCTCTGTCCCACATGCTCCCTGCCCCTGTCTGAGAAAGAACGTTTCTTCAATTACTGTGGGCTCGAGCGGGCATTGGTGGAGGTTCTGGGTGCTGAGAGGTTCTCACCTAAGACCTGGGAGACAGATGCCAGCCCTCCACCGGGCAGGCCCAGCTCTGAGGGTGGCAGTGAGTGGGATTCGAGTGGGGGTGATGGTGGCGGTGGAGACTCTGAGGTTGGCACGTCTAGAGATGGGCACCCCCCTGTATCTGTGATAGAACGAAATGCCAGGGTCATCAAGTGGCTCTATGGGTGCCAGCGGGCTCAGGCACCCCCCCTAGAGTCAGAAGTGTGATTGTGTGGGAAAGGAGGGGATGAGAGGGCATAGGAGCTGGGCTCTTCCCTGCCCACTGGGCCAGCAAAGGCCCTGAGAGTTATAGAAGGGGGCACTGTCTGGGGGATAGTATTGATGCCCAGGCCTGATGCTCTGGCTGAGGGGGCAGGACCCAGGTTGGAGTAATTGGGGAGAGTGAGGGTAACTCCATGGCCCCTGTGGAGGCTTGGTCTGGGGAGTGGGGGGTTGGGATGGGGTATCAGGGCTGTGTCCGGGAGACATACTGAATAAAGTAGACTTAATTTAAGTCTGGTTCTGTGTTGGGGGAGAGGGCACAGAGGATGTGGGGTGAGGAAGTAGATGCTGAGAATCCCAGGATTCATTTCTGATAGACTCAGGAAAGGATCTGGGGGAATAATGATGATAATAATAATGATGATAATAGATAACAATTGTATATTGAATGAAGGTTTCAAAGTGCTGCACATATATTATCTTACTACATAATGAAAGAGAGGGTGACTGCCTTTCCAGCCTGGGGTGGGGGGTGGGGGGGTTAGGGGAAGGGGCTTGGGGCCACAGTGAAGGAGAAGGGGAGAGCTGGACATCTTTCCTATATCTTCTTTTTGAATGCCAAAGGAATTTCTTCCTGAAGTCTAACCTCAGTCTTTCTTATTGCACTCTGGGCCCATCTGGGAAGTGGATGGGCCTTCCCTCTCCATCTGCCCTTTTGTTACAGGTGTTTGGGGAGGTTTAAGGCCAAGGAAGGAGAAACAATCTGCCTGGGGGGCGGGCGGGGTGATATGGGCATCCACGCTCCCCCTGCCCCGGCCTCTCACCCATCCCCTTGTATTGCGGCTAAGAAGCATCGAGTCAGCAGGATCTTTTGGTCCTAGAGGGCCTTTAGGGGGTGGGTGGGAGGGGGGGGGGGGCACAGGTGTTGGGAACAGCTAATCTCCTTTGGGGATGGCTTTGCTGCGCATCTCAGCCAGTTTGTTGGTTAGGAAGCCCCACTTGAAGCCAGCAGCTGGGTCAGGCTCGGTGCGGTCATCAGCTCCGTCCTCCCTCTCTGGCTCGGCTGCCCCTTCACCCCGGAGCATGGCCTCCGTGGCTGCCTCGGCCTCCTGCGGCGGCTGGTGGTGGTGATGCTGCTGCTGCTGCTGCCATCTGCTGGCGAAGGCATCCCAGAAGCCTGGCCCCTTGGGGGCATCCTCCGTGGGGGGCGGTGCTGCCAGGGGACTGCAGGGAAGAGAAGGGTTGTGTGGGTAAAGACAGAAAGGGCAGATGGAAATGTGCCAAGAGGTAGAGGAAAAGAGAAACAAAGGATAATAAATTAGGAACTGGAAGGGACTTTATTTTGTAGATGAAGAAACTGAGGCCCAGGGATGTTAAATGACTTGCCCAGGGCCACATGACTAGTAAATGTCTTGAGGCAGGATTTGAATCCAGACCTTGCTGACTCCAAGTCCAATGTCTCATTCTTTTGTGTAGGGTTGAACTAGGTGTTCACTGAGATCCCTTCCAACTCAAAGCCTGTGGTGTTGTGATGGGTGTGCGTATGAGACAGGAGAGAGATGAGCAGTGTCAAGGGAAAGGGGACTTTGAGGAGAGAGGAGGGGAGATGAGTGTGTGAGGGGACGGTGGGTGTAGTGCCATATGTACGGGGGGGCCACGGAGATGTATGTGTTGGTTATGGGGAGAAGAGTACATGGTAGGGGTTAGAGGAGAAGAGCATTTGTTGTGTGAAGACGTAGGGTGGGCTCTGAAGAGGGAGACAGGGCTATCTCTGAGGGGAGAGATGGAGATTCAGTTTGAGGGGGGAGCTGAGATGAGGATAGTTGTGGAGGTAGAGGAGGAAAGAGTGTGGGGGGGGGGGGTAGGAGGGCCTGTCTGTGAGATTGAGGTGGGTCTGTGTCCAGCGATGGAGAGATGTTGACAGGGCATCCAGTGGAATGGAAGTGGAAAGGGTGGGCAGAAGGCTGAAAGTCAAGGGCTCAGGCAGATGAGAAGGGCAGGGTTTAGAATCCAGAGATCCTTGGGAACAGGGAGAAGGAAGGGAGGTCACTAAAAGATCATCTTATCTATCCCTTGTCCCTGGGCTTGGTGGCACTTTTCCAGGTGACTGAGGGAAGAGGCTGCCCAGCCAGGCTTTGGCAGGCCAGCCCTCAGCAAGGTTAAGTAGTGGAGTGACCTTCTCAGGAGCAGTCATCAACCTGCTCCTTGGAGGAAGGATAACAAACATGCCCCCAGACTCAGGCCAGGCCTCACAGACATGAACACAAGTGTAGCGACACACGGTACATCAGACCCAAACCCAGATTCAGACAGGATGTAATTGGAAAGGATGGTGAGAGAAGAAAATGAGGTGCAGGTCCCAAAGGCACCCTCTCTGCTTCTCCCCATCCCAGCCTGAGGTCAGGAGGAGCCATGCCTCCTGGACATCCACCCACTTCCCAACCCCCTCCTACTGGTCAGCACAGGGTTCTGAAGGCAGCAACTTGTCCTCATCTTCTTTGTTGAACAAGGATGACATTGTCCTCCAGCCTTTCACCCCAGCGCCCTGGACCTGGGGGAGGAAGAGCTCTGTCGACAATAGGGGTATCGTCACAGATGACCACCCCACCCCAAATCAGGGAACCTCTTTCCTTCCCTTCTTCCCCGTGGATGGGCTCTGTTCCCTGAGCTGGGCGGCCTCACCTTCCTGGCCAGCTGGGACATGGGATTGCTGGCCTCCTGTGTCAGCTGCACATCTTCCTGCTCTGCTAGCACTGGACTCCCTGTCTGTGACACAAGCCCCAAGCCCAGCTGTGAGAGGGGACCTCCCATGCATCCCTATCTCCACTCTCACCCCACCTCTCCCGCAAACACCCAATCCTGCCTCCAAAGTCACATTTCTTCCTCACACCCCTCCATGTCCCCCCCCCCCCCCCGCATCCCCATCTCTGCCCTCCTATCCACATTTGCCTCCCCCTCCCACACACAATCACACCTTCCTTTCTCATGCTCCCAGCTCATTTCTCCCCTCCTATACAACACAATCTTTCTCTTCACACAGCCATCCCCCTCTAACCCATCCGTTTGTGTCCATCTCCTACATACCCCACCCCACCACATTATACACATATGTACAATACATTTCTCTCAGAGCCTTCCTGAGACTATCCCCGATTTATGATATGCAGGGTATCCCAAATGTCTTAGTGCAATGTTGAGCTTTAATAAACTTAAGACTTTTGCAACAGACGCTCTGTACGCATCTTGTTTGTACAGAGTTGTCTGCGTGTTGTCTCCTCCATTAGACTGAGAGCTTCTTGAGAGCAGAGACTGTCTTTTGCCTTTCTTCCCTTCCCCAGCACCTAGCATAGTGCCTAACACACAATTTGTTGCATGTCTGACTCTTCCTGACCCCATTTGGCATTTTTTTTTTTTGCAAAGATGCTGAAGTGGATTGCCATTCCCTTCAGCGGTTCATTTTACAGATGAGGAAACCGAGGCAAGCAGGGTAAAGTGACTTGCCCAGGGTCACACAGCTAGTAAGTGTCTGACGCTAGGTTTGAATTCAGGAACATGAGTCTTCCTGACTCCAAACCCAGCTCTCTATGCACTATGGCGCCACCTAGCTGCCTGACACATGGTAGATGCTTAATAAATGCTGGTTGGCTAACCGACTGGGTATGTCTATACATACCCAGCCATCCACACCTATAAACAGACATACATCCTGTGCATATGAGAGCACCAGGGTTCATTGGAACAAGCTCTGCCACTAGCTTGCTGTGTGACCTTGGACAAGTCACTTCTCCTTTACGGGCCTTAGCTTTGTCACCTGCAAACGAGGGATTGAACTAGACATTCTCCAAATTCCTTTCCAGTTCTTATGGTCTATGTGTCTTTAGGCCTCATACAAAGTGGGAGAAAGGCCCAAGAGGCGTTGGATGGAACAGTATCATTTTATAGGCTCACCTGAGGTCACACCACTGGTATCAGAGAGCACACTAGAACCCAAGTCTTCTGATTTCCAATTTAGTGCTCCCTCCACGGCACCCAACTGCGCGTGCACAGGCAAGCTTCCCCTCCGCCCACACAGATGCCTGCCCAGCCCAGGCCCCAGACAAACTCAGATAGCTTCCCCATGAAGATGGCTGTTCCTCCCCCATTGCAGAGTAGCATCCCATTTTTCCCAGGATCTCTGTGCTCTCCAGGCAATGTCAAACATGTCAGGTGGATCCCTCCCCAGAAGCACTCTTGACAAGGCAAGATTTGTGGGAGGCCACTGACAAAAGCCACGGGGGAGGAGCAGGCACAGATGGGTTGCTGGAAGGAGTGCCTGCATCGATGAGATAATACACCCATGGGAGGACTGGAGCATCTCATCTCTGATGTCAGGACAAACAGTCTGGGTCGGAGCTTGATCAGAGTCTCTAAAGATACATGTGGCCCCTATCTGGCACCCATCCCTCGTCCCCTGGGAAGACACCTGTCTCCCTGGAGCCAGAGGTCCCTCCCACCCTGCCTGCCTGTTCCCTCCCCCTTTCTTAGTCTTGCCATCTTTGCCTTTCTCCCTGTTTCCTGCTTTCCCATCCCTATTCTCTTGTTTTGTTCCTGTTTCCTCTCCCTAGTTCCCTTCTCTCCTTTTTCCAATTCCTTCTGTTATAGAATGTCAGAGTGGGAAGGGGACTTAGAACATGGAATATCAGAGCTGGAAAGAGACCTTAGAAAATGGAATGTCAGAGCTGGGAAGAGACCTTAGAACACAGAATGTCAGAGCTGGGAGGGCCCTTAGAACACAGAATGTCAAAGCTGGGAGGGCCCTTAGAACAAAGAATGTCAAAGCTAAAATGGACCAGAGAACAATGTGAAAGACCAGAGAGATTCCCTAGCCCAGGAGTTCTCAGACTTTCTGATCTCAGAACCCCTTTGGCCATCTTAAAAAGTATTGTGGACCGCAACCCCCCCCAAAGAATTGCTATTTATGTGGATTATATCGATATTTATCATATTGGAAATGAAAACATCTTTGTATTATTATAAAAATAACTGACTTTGTGGATCTCCTAAAGGGGTCTCAGAGGCTCCCAAGAATCTGGGCCATGCTTTAAGAACTTCTGGTCTAGTAGAATGGTTCTTCTCATTTTTTGACATAGCACAATAGCTAGCACATAGTAGGCACTTAATAAATGCTATTATTATTCACTCTGACTGAGCCAGAGACAGCCTGACTTGCTTAAGCTCACACAGCAAGTGAGTAGCCAAGCTAGGAATCCAGCCTAGGTTCCTGAAGTGCCAGCACATTGCCCTTTCCATAGCACCAGCAGCTTCTTTTCCCTAGTTTTCCTTCCCACTCCTTTCCCATCACCTTTGCCCCCTGCCCAGACTATGCTACCTGTTAGGCGCCCGGGTCACCCACCTCTTCTGAGAGCTCTTCCCCAGATTCTCCGCCCAGGGTCTGCAGCACCTTTGACTTGTAGGTCTTCCAAAAGGCCTGGTTCATGGCTGTAGGGGCACTGTCCAGGGCACAGGGCAGGTGATGGCTCAGTGGGTACCAGTGCCCATCTCATAAGCCACTTGGCTGGGCCTGGCTCTTGCCCTCTGGGATCAGGTGACCTCATTAAAGATAAAACAGCTTTCCCTGCCTGGCCCAGTGCCCTGGGGGCAGGAATCTGATCTGGAGGAATCTGGGGTGGGGGTAGGGACCCCCACCTTCCTTCTGCTCATCCATGGAAGCTGCAGGGCCCAAGATGATTTGAGGCTCCTCCTCATCCCCCCTGAGATGAGCCAGGGAAGGTTCAGGAGAAATTCTCCCCAATCCTTCCCATCTCATTCATCCCCAGACTGAAAATAGGCACTCCCCGGGACAAACACAACTCCCCTTTAAAAAAATCCAACCTGATGTCACGGACACACTTTTTGCGTTCTCTGTAGGGTCCTGTCTATTGCCCCTGCTTAACCTTAAGGATCAGGCTGATATTTGGTGATGGGGGTCCCAGGCAGGCCCCTTAGCCCCCGGAGCCACCAATGCCCTGGTCTCATATTTCAGAGCATTGTCTGGACCCGTAACTGATTCCACCTTCCTGGAGTGGGGAGACGCTCAGCCCTGTGACCCTGTCTCCTGGCAACCAGCTCCAAATAGACCAAGTCCCTGAATTATTGCTGAGTCCCTGACTGCTGTTCATTCCAGTTTTGGTTTCTCCCAGTCTAGAAAGAACCAGGCCCTGGGGACATGGACATAGGACTAGAGCTAGAGTGAGGCTCCTTCCCCCTGCCCCCCACCCACTCTCTCCTCCCTAACCCTTGCCTGCCAGACTGGGACTGATGCATCAGGCAGGCCTCAGCCCTGAAAACAGTCATCCCCCGGAGCTCCAGGGAGGGATTCTCCCATGAGAATTCTCCTCCCCTTTGGCCTGATTGAGACCAAGGTCACCCTCCCCCATATCCCATTGGCCATGAGCATTTCAGGGGTGTCATCTGTCTGTTCCATTAGCCTACAACTCCTACACAAACATAAGATAGAAGTCGGACAACATGGGTTCATGGGAAAAACCCCCGGGGATCTTCATGGACTTCAAGCTTACCATTGCCTGGACTATTTCCCATTCAATCCAATAAACCTGAATAAAGGGCCTCAGAATTGGGGGGGGGGGAACCATTCAGGTCTTCCCTTTAAGGATGTTACAGTCTGAAAGCCTAATTTGGCAGGGGGGAAAATAGCAACTAACTGCAATTTGCAGCTGTAGTTAATGGGGGAGAGGGTGACAATCCTGCTGTCCTCCACCCTAGTTAGATCACATCTTGAGTAACTTAAGCTATCTGAGAGACCTTGGCTTAGTTTGTGCCTTCCCAGCACCTAGCAGTGTGTGTGAGTGTGTGAGTGTGTATATATATATGGGGTGTGTGTGTGTGTGTAATTCATAGCACCAGAGAATTGGAGATTCCAAAGGGACCTCAGTGACCAGTCATCTAGTCTAACCCAGGCCTGGAAGGAATTCCCAGAAAAGCAAACCTCAGAGAAAAAGGAACCCACCCCCTCTCCAGGTGGCTCATTGTATTTGGGGACAAACTCAATACAATTCATGTGCTACATTGTACCTGAGCAACAGAGTGAGGGATTGGGTTTTGGTCTGGGTTGAGATTTCTCTCCACAGAGGCATTTCATAAGTCACAGGCAATTCTGAGAGGAAGCTCTGAGTGTTAGGGTGACTTGCCCAAGATCATGCAGCTAGAAAGTACATGAAGCAGGATTGAAACCCAGGGCTTCCCTAGTGCTTAGCATACAGCGTTTAATAGGCATTTTTCATTCATTCCTTCATTCATTCCTTCATTCATCTCTGACTTTACAGGTCCAGTACCCTATACAGAATGTCATAATGTTTCTGTGTGTCTCACTTCTATATAGCAGGCCTTCAATCAGTGTTAGTTGGATTGAATTGGATTGAACTGAATTGGGCCCATTTCTGGAGCAGATTTCAGGCAGAACATAGACCCCCTGGAACAGGTGCAGACAGGACCCCTCATCACCTGTATTTATTCACTTGGTATGGTCTTGGAATCTGAGCAGACAGTAGTGGTTAAAGGGCTAGCCTTGGAGATTCAAGTCCCAACTCGATGTATTCTGGCTGCGTGAACCTGCCCAACGCATAACCTCTCAACGCCCCAGGACAATACATTGCAGAGTATTTGCTGACCTGCATCTTCGAGGGAGTTTGCTTGTCAGGACTTCTATATAATAATAGCTAGCATTGTATATGGAACTTCAAGGCACTCTACGACTGTTATCTCATTTGGTCCACTCAACTATAGTAGGTACTCTTATCCCCATTTCATAGATGAGGAAACTGAGGCAGAGGTTAAATATCTTGCCCAGGATCACACAGTAACGGTCTGAGAGCAGATTTGGACTTGGGTTTTCCTAACACTCAGTCCAGGCCCTGTCCAATGGGTCACCTAGCTAACAAAACCGCCAGTCTGGTCTTTGCTGCCTCTTCATCATATCTATTTTTACGTTTTCCTGTTGCTTCCTTGGAATGAACTATGCTTCTTGAACTATGCCTGCTTCAAGTCAGTCCTTCATTCAGCCACTAGAGTGATTTTCCTAAAGAACAGGTCTGATCGAGTCACCCCACTACTCAATAAACTCCAGGGGATCCCAATAGCCTCCAAGATCAAATACAAATGCTCTCTTTGGCATTCAAAGGCCTACATGACCCAGCCCAGGGGTGGAGAAGCTGCTGCCTGGGGCCACATGTGGCCAGGTTGGGCCTTTTGACTCCAGCCCAAGTTTTACAGAACAAATCCTTTTATTAAGGGGATTTGTTCTGTGAAGTTTGGATTCAATCAAAGGTCCCACTTGAGGACCTAAAGGGCCATATGTGGCCTCGAGGTCGAAGCTTCCCCACCCCTGACCCAGCCCCTCCTACCTTCCCAGCCTTCTTACACTTTCCTGCCCACCACGTGCTCCTCCATCCATGGACAATGGCCTCCTGCCTGTTCCACGAACTCCACCTTCCATCTCTCAACTCTAGGCATTCTCTCTGGCTGTCCTTCATGCCTGGAATGCTCTCCCTCCTCCACTCCCACTACAGACCTCCCTGGCTTCCTTCCCTAAATTCCACCTTCTACAAGAAGCCTTCCCCAACCCCTCTTAATTCTAGGTCCTTCCTTCTGCTAATTATCACCTGTTGGGGCAGCTAAGTGGCACACTGGGACTCTGGAGGCCCTGAGATCAAACTCAGCCTCAGACACTTACTAGCTGTGTGACCCTGGGCAAGTCACTTAACCCCATCGTCACCAAAACAAAAAAATCTCTTGTTTATCCTGCATATAGTTTGCTTTGTAAATATGTTTCTACGTAGTCTCCCCCACTAGAATATAACCTCTTTGAGAGGTGGACTATCCTTTGCCTCTTTTTGTATCCCCAGGGCTTAGCACCCGGCATAGTGTTACTTAACAAACAATTGATTGGCACATAGTAGGTGCTTAATAAATGTTGACTGATTGAAGGCAGGGACTGTTTCTTTTTTTGTGCTTTGTATCTCCAGAACTAAACATAACATCTGGCACACAGTAGTTGTTGGTCAGTCATGTCAGACTCTTCCTAACCCTATTTGGGGTTTTCTAGATACTAGAGCAGTTTGCCATTTCCTTCTCCAGCTCATTTTACAGATGAAGAAACTGAGGTATACAGGGTGAAGTGACTTGCCCAGGGTCACACAGTCAGGAAGTGTCTGAGGCCGAATTCGAACTCAGGGAGATGAGTCTTCTTGATTCTAGACCCGGCACTCTATCCACTGTACCACCTAGCTGCCCCCACACATAGTAGGCGCTTCATAAATGTTGACTGATTGAAGGCAAGGGACCTGTTCCTTTTTTTAACTTTGTATCCCCAACACTAAGCACAGTGCCTGGCACATAGTGGGACTCGTAAATGCTGATTGATTCATCGGTTGAAGGCAGGGACTGTCTCTTATTTTGTCTGTATCCACCAAGTCAAGCCCAGTGTCTGGAGCTCCCTAAATGCATGCTTGACAGATCGGGTGATGTGAGGCTTGTTTGGAGGAGCAAGAAGAGAAAAGAGAAAACACTTTGGTTGTGGGAGGGGCGGTCCACAAGAAATGGCTCCACGCGGTGGAAAGAAGGCTCAGCTTCGTTCCGCTGGGCCCCAGCGGGCAGAACGAGGCGCTGAGGGTGCGTGCCGGGTGCGTGCCGAGTGCGTGCCAGGTGCAGAGACGGGCTTCACTCCATTCAGCTGGAGAACACCCTCTGTCCCGGTAGCGTAGTGCGGGTAGTTCGACTGGTGACAGCTAACGAGACCCCGCCCCGCTGCGGCGCCCCCGCCTGTCCGCCAGGGGGCGCTCGGGCCGAGCATCTCATGAGGCCCGCCCCGTGACATCACGACCCGGACCGGAAGCCGAGCTCACGTGGGCCCCGGCGGCCCCTAGCCCCGAGCTTCAGCCCCTAGCTGAGGCCATGGCCCGCTCCCGGCGCACCGGCGCGCACCGAGCACACTCCCTGGCCCGCCAGCTGAAGGCCAAGCGGCGGAGGCCGGACCTGGACGAGATTCACCGGGACCTGCGGCCCGATAGCGCCGCCCGCCGGCCCCAGCCCGACGCCGAGCCGGACCCCGACCTGCCCGGAGGCGGCCACCACCGCTGCCTGGCCTGCGCGTGAGTTCCGGGAGGGGCGGGTCTTCCGGGGGCCGGGCTTAAGAGTGGGGGTGGGGTGCGGCAGGGGAATGGGGGCACCCAAGGAGTGCAGGCTCGGGGGTCTGGGCAGTGGGGACCTAGGAGCAGAGGCTCATGAGGGTCTGGAAAATGGGACCCAAGGGGGCAGAGGCCTATGGGGGGTGGGGCAGGGGAATGGGGGGACCCAGGGAGTGCAGGCTGCGGGGTCTGGGCAGTGGGGACCTAGGAGCAGAGGCTCATGAGGAACTGGAACGTGGGGGTGGGAGGTGGAGGCTCATGATGAGCTGGAAAGTGGGGACCTAGGGGGCAGAGGCCTATGGGGGGGCAGGGGAATTGGAGACTTAGGAGACTGGAGGCTTTGGGAGGGTTTGGAAGTGGGGACCTAGGGGCTGAAGGCTTGGGGAATTGGGGACCTGGGGACTAAAAGTGTTGTGGGGTTTGGTGCAGATAGTAATTAAGGACCTGGAGGTTGGAGACTTTGGGAGATAGAGCTGGGTAACTGGGAACTTGTGGAGATTGGAGACCTGAAATGGAGGCTTTGGAAGTTGGGGTTTGGGGGGATGGAGGCTGGGAAGGGGATGGACTGAGTCCTAGGTCAGGAAGGGGAAGAAGCTAGGAGGTGAAAGATCAAGTTTTGAGGCCAGTGATTTGTCTGGATGCCTCATTTCCTAGCTGTTTTCCTTCTCTGGGGGGTGGAGGGGAGGAAAAGGACCCTCTACTCACATCTCACCCCTACCCCCCTCCAGGAGATACTTCATTGATACTGCCAGCCTGAAGAGTCATTTGAAGTCCAAAGATCACAAAAAGAGGTGGGAGGCTGGAGGTGACTCCCTGCAGCTACTAAAGCCCCATCTTACTCCCTTTTTCCCTTACCCCTTCACCTCTTTCCCTCTTTGCCTTCCCCCACAGCATTTCTTCTTTCTCTCTAGCCTCTAAGCTCTTCCCTTAGATCCCCTCTCTGATCTCCCCCTTCCCCATTTCTTCCCAGTCTTGCCCTGACCCTTTTTTAACCCTGACCTTTATTTTTTCCTACAGGCTGAAGCTACTGACAGTAGAACCCTACAGTCAGGAAGAAGCAGAGCGGGCAGCAGGCATGGGCTCTTATGTGCCCCCCAGGTGGTTGGCAGTGCCCACAGAAGTGTCCACTGAGACATCTGATATGGAGGTGGTCAGCTGATGCTGCCCAAAGGCAGAGGAAGCCACTATTGGATAGCCGTGCTAAGCTGGGCTGGCTGGACTGTTTCTCTCCCCCAGCACTCAGAGCAGAATCTTCTTTCCCAATAAAAGAGCTGAGCTGCCATGCCTCCATCATGTTTCTGATTTCCCCTGCATGCCAGGAGCTGATGCTTGTTTCCCACCTACATTCCCCAGGAGCTCCTCTATCCCTAGTGCTCAAGACTTCTGTGCTTGCCCGTGGGCTAGCCACATACTGAACCTTCAGGTCAAGGGAAAGAGAACCCTTCCCTCCCCGTTACTTTGCTTTGGACGCATGTCACCGGATGGAGCCCCAGTCATGGCATGTCTTGTGTGTCTGCACCTTGCAGTTTTCCAGGTTTATTCCATCCAGGGCTCCCACTTCTCCAGCCTAGGTAGGCATGGATGCTCCCTGTACCCCATCCTCTTCCCCTTGGCCTCCCAGCCTGCTGGGGCCACCATCTGATGGGGTAGGGAGGAGGGGGTTGGTAGAGATGGGAAGAGTTCTTCCTCTGGATATTGAGTGAGATAGATGCTGCCCCCCAGACTTTCAGGGGCTTGCTGTCCTGTCACGGGGTCTTCGGGGACTTCCCTTGATCCACCAGCTGTCGGACACTGTAGAAGGAGAGACCCAGGCCGAACACAGCCAGCAGTGTGGCCAGGGCACCCACCAGTTTGTTCCGGGGCTCTGCCTTCAGCTCCCCAGACACTTGCATCTGGGTAATGGGGTAGAAAGGGAGCATCGTTGGGAAGGGAGAGACAGCCAGGGAGCCCGTCAAGATCCCAGGGTGTTCCCTTTGGCCTTAAGGATCCAGACCAGGGAGGTTGGGAGGGGAGGGGTGGGAGATGTCAGTAACCCCACCCCTTCTTCCTCAGGCTCAGGAAGCCCTCCCTCCCAGGGACATTCCATCCCGATGCTCTCTCGCATCAATGCTGCAGGGCTAACATGCGGGGCCCAGCTGCTCAGGCGGCATGCAACGTGCCTGGCTGGCTCCTACTATGGCGGGGTTGGGGGTAGAGGAGAAGGGAGCCTGGTATGTTATGGGATGGGGAGGGGGGGAGTTACCTCTAGCATCCGAAAATAGCCGGGGGTCAGCCGTCCAAAGCGCATGATTGGCCTAGGGCTGGGGGGCAGGGGGGGTGGCTTTGTCTTCTTGGTGGCCGTCTGGTGAGTGCAAGAGGGGAATGAAAACCATGCCAATAAATAGAAATTGGGTCGGGGGAGGGGGGCAGGAAAGCTTAGGGCTACATTCTTGCTCTGTCCCTTCACACAGCACCCACCCGCCAACATGTACGCGCACACAATCTTCCCCGCTTCCTTTTTGTTACTGGGTGCTCAGCTCTGTATCTTCCAGTCCCCAAACCCTCCTCTGTACCCCTAAATCCCATGCCAGAAAAGCTTTCATCTCCCCCCAACCCAAAAGTGCCCGGAGAGGATGCTCACCTTCAGCTGCCCGCCCACAACTCACTGGCAGCTGGGACAGCAGTGGGTCCTTTAAATCGGGTCCCCTCCCCTTACCGGGCCAGCCCGGGCGGCAGCTGTCAAGAGACATCAGCATCAGGCTGGAATCAGGCCTTTGTGCCCACCCCACTTCCTGCCATGGAGGCGGGCACCTGGATACAAGGAGGAAGGAGGCCTCTCACCAGCAGGGTACGCTTCATCCAGGGTAGGGGTGGGAGAGGTCCCTGATCCTGCTGGACTGGCGTCCTGAACCTTATTTGGGTGGAGGCAGCTGGCAGTGGAAGGAAGCACAGGATTTGGAGACAGGGCCCAGGTTCAAATCCCACCTTTGACACTATCTGTGTACGACGTAGACCCTCTCTGCTGTCTAGCCTGTATTTCTTTGTCCCCTCTACTCCTTGAGAAGGCCATGTCTAATCAGATCCTTCACTTCCTCTCCTCCCATTCTAAATCTGCAGTCTGGCTTCCGACCTCACCGAACCTGCAACTGAAAATGCTTACTCCAAATTTACCAGTAATCTTGCCACATGGAACGACCTTTTCTCACTCCTTTGTCCATCTTCACCTCTCTACTGCTGCCTTTGATACTGGTGATGACCTCCTTCTGGACGCTGTCTCCTCTAGGTTTTCGTGACACGGCTCTCTCCTGGTTCTATATGTCCAACAGCTCCTCAGTGTCCTTTGCTGGTTCCTCATTCCCATCACGCCCTCTAACCGTGGCTGTCCCCCGAGGCTCTGTCCTGAGTCCTCTTTTCACTCCATACTCTTGGTGAGTTCCTTAGTTCCCTTGGGTTACTATCTTTATCGAGCCGATTTCCAGATTTATACACAGCTCTTGTCTCTCTGAGGAGCTAGTCACCAATCCCCTCTTGAGTATCTCACACGGGATGTCCCACGAGCAGCTCAAACTCAACGAGTCCAAAATTGTTCATCGTCTTTCCCCATAAACCTTCCCCCCTTCTAAATTCCCCTATCGATATTGTAGGCACCACCATTCTCCCAGTCAGAAATTTGTATTATTCTCTAGTCCTCACCAGTCAGTCACCAAATATATCCCTTGAATACACGCCCTCCTCTCCACTCATATGGCCACGACCATAGCCTGAGTCCAGGCCCTCAGCACCACTCCTTGGACTCCTGCAATAGACTTCAAATTGACTCTCGCTCCCACTCCAATCCATTCTCTCCTCATCACCCAACATTTTTCTAAAGCAAAGGTCTGACCATGTTAGAACCCTACCCTACCAATGAACTGCAGTGGCTCCCTATTACTTCTAGAACCAAATACAAAGCTCTATAACGTGGTCCATTCCTACCTTCTCAGATTTCTTACACCTTAATCTTCCCCTTCTCCCTCCACTACAAACCAGGGGCCTAGTTGCAGCTCTTGAACACTACGCCATCTCCCACCCCTTGGCCTTTGCATTGACTGTGCCCCCCTTCCCCATACCTGGTATCTTCTGCCCCCTCACCTCTACCTCTTGGTTTTTCTGGCATCCATCAAGACTCAGCCCATATCTCACCTCTCAGAGCCCTTTCCTGGTTCCACTAGCTGCTATGCTATACCGTTTCAGATTACATTCCATCCATTCCATATGTATGTTGTCTCCTTCATTAGAATGCAAGCTACTTAAAAGCTAGCATTGTGAGGATAGTTGTTTTTTTTTAATTTTTCACCTTTCTTTATAACTCCAGCATTTAGCACAGTTCCTGGCACATAGTGAATGCTTGTTGTCTGACCTTTGGATTTGTTTAATTCAACCTCATTTTATAGAAGAGGAAATAAGCCTGTAGAAGGGGAGTTCCTTGCCCAGGGCAATTCAGGTCCCCTGACTGCAAACCATGGTCTTCCTTCTATCACAGCCCCTCTCCCTTAATTAATATTGAATTGAATTCCTGACTAGGTTGGTAACTACAGAGCAGCAGTAGCTTTGGAGAGCAGAGGAAATTCCCTTTTCCGTCCAGGGTGAGGTTACAGTCCCATTTCTGTTGTGCTTTTAGGGTTAGAAAGCTGCTTCAAACACTCATCCTGTGCTTTAGCAGCTACAGAAACATGCCCATTCTGTGAAGGAGGAAACTGGGGCCCCCAGAGGCAGCTTAATTTGCCAGGGGCCTGAGGTAGGACTAGATATGGCCCATATCTTCTGACTGCTGGCTTAACACTCTTTCCTTCCTTCACCTGGATTAAGCAACAATCCAAATGCTCTTTGTTTTTGGTCCATTCGATGGAGATGTATCTTTACACACCACCCATGTCCCCCCGTGCCAGGGGAGGCAACAGCAGGAGCTTTTGAAAAACTTGGCTCTTTTAAGGCTCAGTTCAAATGCCCACTCTTTGAAAAATAGTTTTTAGTCCCCCTCATATTTTGTATATGGAATTCAGATACCTGGAAGCCCTCTCCGAAGCCATCAAGGCCAACCCCCCACCCCTTGTGTGTAGATGAGGCCCAGAGAGGACACACAGGATGTCAGAAGCCAGTATGATTTGAACCCAAGAGCTCAGGACTCATCCCATGGTACCAATATCTGGTATTTACTTCTCTGGGGCCCATGTTGGTTGTACATCACCCTACCCAAGGAATCTTAGCCTTTTTGTGAGTCATGGAGCTCTCTTTGGCATCCTGGAGAACCAGAATTTGTTTAAAAGCATAAACTGTATTCCCCAGGATTACACAGGAAACCAGTTATTCTGAAATGCACTTAACAATTTTTTTTTTTAATTTCACAGAGCCCCAGGTTAAGAATCTCTGTCTTGGTAGAATGTAAGGGACTTTTCATTTTAGTCATGGTTTCTGTGGTTTGGGGACCATGAGGGGAGCTACCTAGAAGTGAGGAATTTATGCAGAGCCCCATTTTCTTTGCATTTTACAGGTCTTAATTGCCTGGTGATCCTGAGTGGTTGTGACTTCACAGTGTCACACAGCCTGTGGGTGTCAGAGGTGACACTCTAATACTGGTCTTTCTGATTCCAAAGCCAGCTCTCCAGTCACCACCTCCTCTGGCCTGCCACATAGCAGGCATTCAGGAGATGCTTGTGGCTTGATTAATTGAGCTCTTGACCCCGATTGACTTCAGGGGGCTGGGGCTGGCTGGTTTGGGGGAGGGATAAGCTGGGATCCCTCTCCCAGCCCTGTGGCACTCACACACCCTCTGGGCCCTGGTTCCAGATTTGGTCTGGTCAGGTCTCAGTGTGATGTGGCGTGTTTAGGAGTTGTGTCGCCTCATGGGCAGCCCCAGGTAGTGGTCAGCACCTGCCTGCTACAGCCACCCCCGGCTAGGCTACTTAACTGGCTCTAAGCCCCTGGGCCAAACCCTTTTTCTTTTCGGACCTTCAATTTCCTCCGTCTTAGGGTTAGTGTGAGATCATATGATGGCCGTAAAGGGTTTTGTAACCTGAAGGAGTTTTCCTTGTGTGTCAGTGACCCCTACTCTGCGCCCCACCCCCACTCTTCCAGGGAGCAGCAGCCCACGAAGGGAAGCGGGACACATGTGGAGCCGGAGCGGTCCGGTCGGGAGTCCAAAGGCTCAGCAAGTCCAGGACGAACTCGAACTCGAGCGCCCCTAGAGTCTCACCCCAGCAGCGTCCGCCCCCCGAGGCTAGAGTTAGGAGTGGGGTGGGGCTGAGGAGGGGCCGGGCTCTCCGGGCTGACTGGCAAAGCGGCCGGGCCAATAGGTGTGCCAGGATGTTCACCTGGCCCGAGCCACGTGGGCGCAGGTATGTGGCAGGCTCCGCCCCCGGCCCAGCCCCGCCCGTCCCGAACCCGAGAGACGACTCTGGGTTTCAGGGACGGAAATTTTCCGGGAGGGAAGGTCCGGGATTCACTATGGAGCCGGTGGTGGCATCCTGGGGTCCTGGGTCGGTGGTGGCCTGGCTGAGAGGTGCGTAGGGGCGAAATGCCCTGGGCTGGAAGGTGGGGTCTACATCGGCCTGCGTCTTGGGAGGGGGGGAGGGAGGATAGGGGAGAGGGGAGTTGGGAGTTGGGGGTGAGGGGTGGGGGTGGCTCTTGGTCTACACTGGCCCGACACTGACGCCAGGGGAGGGTGCCTGCCCTCCCAGATGTCCCAAAGGTGGGAAGTCTTGAAGTTGTGAGTTCCGGGACCCTGAGCCCCAAGCCCCCTTGGGAAGAAGGGGTCACCCGAGGTGTGAGCGATGGAGGCAGAAGAGCGTCTTTATCCCTCTTCGGAGGCCGGGAATGGACGCAGTGACTTCTTCCTGGGGTCCTTCCACTTTCTGAACGGCAGGCCCACCCCCCCCCCCCCTTGCTGTCTTAAAGAACAGCAAAACATTCTTCTAAAATAATTCATTTCTAGATCGATATAAGGTTTGCGATTCCTTCCCTCACGACCACCCTGTGAGATGGGCAGTGTAGGTATTTTTGTGCCCTTTTCTGCCGATGAGGAAACTGAGGCTCTGAGAGCTTAGCACTACACCTTCATCTCTGCCTCATTTCCGTCAAAACTTAGTTCCAAGGCCCCCTCCTATGGCAGGCCTTTCCTGATCCCCCACAACTGTTAATAGCCCTGCCTGAAATGTACCTTGTATCTATTCTGTACATATTTATTTACATGTGTTCTTGTGGTCCATCCCAGGGGAACATAAACTCCCGGCAGGCAGAGACATTTAGCAGCTTATAGGTGCTTAATCAGTGCTGTTGACATTTTGATTGGCTAAGTGACACCCCCAGGGCCATGTAGCAGGTTAAAGCTTCCCAGAATTCAAACAATCCTACACTCTCCTTATTGCCCACCCTCCCAGGGTTTACAGCCTAAGGAACTGAAGGCTTGGGGAAGGAAGCTAAGCTATAATCATAGCCTATATAATATATAGATATAATCATATCTCCTTCATCTTCAAAAGGCTACTAGGGATCTGAAGGAGGCTATCATTAGACCCATTTCTCAGTTGGAGAGAATGAGAAGGGAGGAGGGGACTAGCTCACAGCCTGTGGGAGAAGGAGCAGGCAATTTGCCCACATCATCTTTGACAACACTCACTTTGGGCCGGACTCTGAAAGATCCAAGTTCAAATGTGACCTTGGATACTAGTTGTGTGCCTCCTAGCAAGTCTGCCTCAGTTTCCTCAACTATACAATGGCAATAAATAATAGCAGCCACCTCCCAGGGTTAATGTGTGTGAGGACAAAAATGAGATAATATTTGGAAAGTGCTTAGGAGACTTTAATGCACTATAAAAATGCTGTTAGCTATTAGTGACTGCTATTATTAGGGTTAGAGGAAAAGTTTCTAGAGCAGGGTACCTTTTTTTGTCACGGACCCTTCATCAGAAGCCAGGTTGTACCCCTTCTCAGAGTCATGGTTTTAAATGCATAGGATTACAAGGGAAACAATTTATATCGAAATAGAATTATCAAAATATTGTTAAAAGATGAACAAGTTCATGGACCCCAGATTAAGAACCCCTGGACTGGTCTGTAGGAGAGATCCTGCCCTCAGGGAGCCTCCAGTCTGAAAAGATAAAGGTACACTTAGGACAAAGACCAACAAATATAACTCCCAATTGTAGAAAGTTCTAGAAACCAGTGCTGGGAAGAGAGGGGAGGAAGTAGAGAGCAGAAACCAGGTAGGGTGAATCAGGAGAGGCTTCCTGGAGGAGGAGAACCAGGAACAGGTTTTGGGAAGGGCCAGAGAAACAGCATTTATGCAGGCTTAGTGGTCACAGGCTCATAAATTTGGAGCCAGAAAGGAAATTACAGATTGCCTAGGCCAACCCTGGCATTTTACAGAGGAGCAAACCGTAGACAGAAGAACTGTCTTGCCTGCAGCCACACAAGAACGCCAGTCGTTGCTCTTCCCCTTCTCGTGTGTGGTCTCATTCAGCAGCAGTGCTGGCACCATCCTGGAGAGGCTGAAGAGGGTTAGAGGGGAAGGGAGCCCCCGGGAGACAAGTGGGGGAGGTGGAAAAACAGATGGCAACAGGGACTCAGCTGAGAAGGTGAATCTAAGAGAGACATAGAATTTTATTTTATTTTATTTTTAGTGCTAGAAAAACTTTAGAAACTGTGGGAAGAGCACTACCTCAACTGATGATGGCATCACGTTATCTTAAAGGCATCGAGCTGGGGATTCAGTGGATAGAGCTTTAAGGCTGGAGTCAGGAAGACATGAGTTCAAATCCAGCCTCAGACACATTACTAGCTAAGTGACCCAGGCCAGGTCATTTTGCCTCAGTTTCCTCAACTGTAAAATGAGAATAGCACCTGCCTTGTAGGGTTGCCTGGCATGGGGCAGTTGTTATATAAATGCTTCTTCCTTCCATTTACTATCTGTGAAGGTAGTCACTTAACCTCCCTGAGCCTCAGTTTCCACATCTGCAAAATGAGAAGGTTCGACTGGATGACCCATCGGTTCATGTGAACTTTCTAATCCAGAGATGATTAACGTGGGGTCTGTGAATTTGTGTGTATGTGTGTTTTTAGATATTTTGATAGCTAGATTTCACTACATTTGGTTTCCTTTATATGCCTGTTTTAAAAAACCCATTGCTCTGAGAAGGGGTTCATAGGCTTCACCATTCTGCCCAAGAAGTTCATGACATCCCCCCCCCAAAAAAGGTTAAAAATCCCTGATCTCATCTAACCTTTGCATTTATGGAGAAGGAAATTGAGACCCAGAGAGGAGAAGCAAGTTATATAAGGTCACTCAGCAAGTTAGTAGAAAATCTGGAGCTCATAGTTCAGGGAGAGCCATTTACAGTAGATTTCAGAGTTTGTGTGTGTATGTGTATTTGTGTGTGGGGGGCAGTAAGGAGGTTTAGCTTGTTGTGTGAAGAACCCAGGAGCACTGGTCCCCCAGCCCCATTAAGAGGGAGATGTAGCAAGTAGTCCCACATTATGTTTTCCATGGGGCTCTGCAGAAAAACAGCCTGGGGACTAAAGGGGAAAGCTGGTAACTCAACCGCACAGCCCTTTCCAGAAGGGTTTTTTTTGTTTTTTTTTTACTGCATAATTTGCCTCAGATTCCTTAAGGGAGAATGAGGCTCATTTCTGTGATGTAGCTGTTATCATTCCCTCCCAAGGCTCTGGGATTCCTGGATTTCCCCAGCAGTCACGGCCTAAGCTACAACCTAAAAGAAAATCTCTTCTTCCAGGGTTGTGCTGGTAAATGTTTAAAGAACTGGCTGTCCAAAAAAGCAAGTGTTTGGGATGTGCCATAAAATTTAACATTTTAATAATAATATATTTATGTTATATAACATTTTAACAATATTGTATTTTATGTATTTATATTATATATATTTGAACAATATATTTTAATAATATTAACATTTTCTCTATTGTCTAGATGATAAAAATAATAGAATAATTGAATAATACATAATAAAGTTTAACATAAACAATAAAAAAAAATCAAAACCTGATTTGTAGCTTTTGCTGAAGTCTAGATGCTCACATTGAAAATTTAACAATCAGCTCCATCCTTTGTACCCCTCTAGAAGGGGAGGTCAGAGACAGCTAACGGACTGACATCTTGGTAAACTTTTGACTGCTGTGAGCTTTGTATCTTAGTATTCATTTCAAGTGACCCTTTAATAAGAATTTACAAGGCCCCTACTGTGTGCTAGACACTGTGCTGTGGGGGGGAAACAATATGACCACAAATGTGTTTGATCATTTTCAGTTGTGTCTGACTCTTCATGACCCTATTTGGGGTGTTCTTGACAAAGATACTGGAGTGGTTTGCCATTTTCTTCTCCAGCCCATTTTACAGATAAGAAAACTGAGGCAAATAGGGTTAAGTGACTTGCCCAGGGTCACACAGCTAGTAAGTGTCTGAGGTTGGATTTGAACTCAGGAAGATGAGTCTTTTTGACTCCAGACTCAGTGCTCTGTCCACCATGCCACTTAGCTTCCATAATAGTAATAATAAGAATAATAATGATAACCACAAGTAGGTATTTAGGAAATATTTACAAGGTAAATGGGGGGTGGGGGAGGAATAAAGAGGAAGCTCTTGTGATGGGGGTGGGGCAGGGACAAGACTCCTTTCTCCTACATCAGATCTTTCTCTTTATTCCAGGGTGCTTCCTGGTCAAATTTTCTCTTGTCCCAAGTTGAGTAAGGGAAGGATTTTAAAATAATAATGACTATTAGCGTTTACATAATGCTTTAAGGTTTGCAAAACACCATCTGTGTTATCTCATTTGATCATCACAACAACAATAATAATAATTAATAATTATTTATTTAGCATCTACTGTGTGCCACACTAAGCAATTGACAATTATTATCTCATTTGATCCTCATAACAAACTTAGGAGATAGTGCTGTTATCACCCTATTTTACAAATGAGGAAACAGGTTGAGAAGCTAAGTGACTTGCCTAGTGTCTCCTAGCTAGTAAGTGTCTGCCTTAGGATTTGAACTCTGGCATTCCTGACTCCCAAACCTAACCCTGGCCACTGCCCATCCGGATGCCTTTTTGCCCATATACCGTGAAAGCTGGGCTTACCCAAGGTCTCTTGAGGCCTGTCAAGGGCTGATGAAAGAGACTGAGGGCACTTCCCAGTCCGTTTGGAAGCATAGCTGGAGAGTGGGCGTGGGGCTCAGATGTGGGAGCTAGTGATGGTAGAGGTAAAGGTGGAGAGGTCGCAAGAAGAGGAGGTGGGGGAGGTCCTGTTACCTTGTGCCGTTCTGGATCTCTACCCCTCTAGGCCTGGATGACCTGGTACAAGAGTACCCCTTTGAGGAGTGGGCCCTGGTGGGGAGTGATCTGCTTCAGCTCTGTCCTCAGAGCCTGGAGGCCCTGGGGGTCTGGCATATTGGCCATCAGGAACTCATCCTAGATGGAGTGGAACAACTCCGGACTCTGGTGAGTAGGTACTGGGGACATTGAGTCCACACCTCCTGGAGGGCCCTTCACCAGGGTTATAAAGGCCAGAGGATGTGTGGCAGAACCGAGCCTAGAATCCAAATCTTCAGACGGGCCAGGGTCCTGGAGCCTTGTTCTTTCCACAGCCTTGTTTGCTGGGGCTGGGGCCTGGGTTCATAGGACTTAGAGTTGGAAGGGACCTTGGAAGTCACTAAGTTCAATCCTCTCATTTTACAGATGAGGAAACGGAGGCCCAGAGGTTAAGGGACATGCCCAAAGTTTGTTGTTGCTCAGTCTCGTCTGACTCTTTGTGACCCCATAGACCATAGCACGCCACTACTGTCCATGGAGTTTTCTTGGCATAGATACTGGAGCGGTTTGCCATTCCCATCTCCCCTGGATTAAGGCAAACAGGTTAAGTGACATGCCCAAGGTCACGCAGCTAGTAAGTGTCTGAGGCCAAATTTGAACTCAGGTCTTCCTGACCTGTCTTCTATCCACTGGGCCATCTAACTGCCCACAGTTACACAGACCAAGGCCTCCCCTTCTTAATCCACTTTTCCCATTGGGAGGGCCTGGTACAGGGGAACATGGGAGTGACCCCTTGTGTTCCTCTCACTGGCCACAGAGCTCTGGGCTAGAGACTGAAAATCTCCGGAAGTTAACAGAGCAGCTGCAGACCCTTACCCACAAGTTGTGCAGTCTTGTCCCAGGCTGCCTTGGGGCCAGTGGGGAACCCGCCCCAGAACTACTCACTGGAGCTATCGAGCTGGTCCAAGCAGCTTGGGCCCTCCTCTGCTGGCTCAACAGGTAATATGGCTGGTCAATTATTCTTAATATTCTCAGTAATAACCCCTTGTGTTTGCTTAACACTGTGACAGTTTGCAAAGAGCCTTCTTACCGGTTCCACACTTTGTGCAATCCTCAGAAAGATTAGATGAAATAGAGATCATCGGCCCCATTTTGCAGCTGAGAAAACTGAGGCTTCTGGAAGTTAAATGGCTTCCCCAAGGTTATCCAGTGAATTGGCAGCAGAACCAAGACTTGAAACATCAGCCTCTTGATTTCCAGTCCTTCTTTCCATTCTCTCCCCCCTGCCTCTAGCAGCTGGGCACAGGGGGTAGAGAAAGATTTGCCTGGGGAGAGAAGGAAGACAAGAGATTCGGGCTGTGAGACTAAGTGTGACTTGGGCAGACCCTGGACCTCCCTGATGCCTAACTGGGGAGACATGATGCCTAGAATTTCAGCCTCTACCAAGGAGGGATGTGAGGTCCTTTGCCTCATAACACTCTGACCCCCAACCCTGGGGCTCAGCTGTCTTCTCATTCCCTGGCTCCCAGGTACCTTTTTTCTCAAATCAATGACTTCTCCGCCTGCCAGGAGATTGGGGATTTGTGCAGAGAGCTGGCCCAGGTCCTGCAGAAGGTGAGTGACCCTCCACCCCTACCCCAAGCCTGAGACTAGAGGTGGTACTGAGCTCAGCCTAGGGGGTGGGGCAGGAGGAATTAGATCCTAGCAATGCTTTTTATAACCTGTGAATCAGACAGGGATTGGGGGTGGGGGCCAGAAAGCCCAGGGAGGGGTGACTGGCCACTTGAGGACAACCGCAGGCTTGAGGTACTGGAGGGGAATAGATGTGTCATCCCAGGATTTGAGGAGAGATCTGGAATTCGGATGAGAATGGAATCCCCTGGTCTTTACCACCCTCTCCCATTAAGCCCTCCCTCCAGGGACCCAGATATGCCACCTTCTGCTTTTCTGACCTTGACTTTCATGTATTTGGGCCAGGCAGTGGATTGGGGGAGAGGGAGGAGGGAGCTGTGAGTGTGACCCGAATAGCCCCTTTTGGGACGTGGGGGAGGGATTTGGCATTTGGATATGGTGTTTGGCAGGTCATAGAGTTAGGTCCAAGAATAGCTGGAATGAGCTGAGGGCAGGGAGAAGAGAGAACCGGCCAGTGTGACCCTCTGAGAATGGGGGTACTATACCTTTAGACACCTATCTATCTAGGGCGGAGTATGGGTCCCCTGCAGAATACAGGGGAGAATCTTGTCTGCAGGCATGATGTAGGGACCCCAGGTCAAGGCAAGAAGAAAGAGGCCGGATTGGAGTTAGAGAAGGGAGTACTGACTGATCCTTGGTGTTCACCTGGTTTTAAGAGGGGCAGTGGTCTCATCTGTGGTCACCCTTTCTGGAGAGATGGGGAAGAAATTTCTCATCCAAAGACTAGTCAGGTCCCCCTGTTCAGTTTGGGAGTCCACCCGGGCCTCCTGTCTCTTCTTTTAGGACTGCCCAGTGGCGAAAAAGGAGGCCCAGATCCTGAGGCTTGTGAGTATTGTGGGGATGGGAGGGAAGGGGTGGTGCAGGGAGGAGAGGGGAGGGCTGCAGGGGTCTGACCAGACACCTTCATCTCTCCACTTTTCCCTTTCTCCACGTCTCCCTTACGCCTCGCCAGGGTGACAACATTCTGAGCATCTGTGACGCCATTCTGAGCTTCAGCCCTGACAACTTGCTGGATCAGCTGGCCGTCTTGGAGCTGGTGGAGCTGAGAGCCAGGCATCCGGAGGAACCCCTGGTGAGCCTGTCCTGGACCCTTCTACAAGCCCTGGCCTTGGCTAAGAAAGAGAGGCAGCCCAGCGTGGCGGGGACAGGCCCAGGGGCTGGCTCTGATGCTGCCTTAGGGACCTCAGGAAGGTTGTTTAACCAGAGCTTTCATTTATTCCTCTGTAAAATGGGGATAATAATGCTTATACTGCCTACCTCATGGGATTGTCAGTGGAGTCACATGACAAAACAGAGGAAAAGCTGTATTTAAATATGAACTATCGAGACACTGGATTCTACAGTTAGAGAACCCTGCAAAGAGAAGTGTCAGACCTAGGAGGGCCTTTAGAACACAGGATGTCAGGGCTGAGAGGGCCTTTAGAACACAGGATGTCAGGACTGAGAGGGCCCTTGGAACACAGAATGTCAGAGCTGGGTGGGCCCTTAGGACACAGGTATCAGGGCTGGGAGGACCCTTAGAACACAGAATATCAGAGCTAGGAGGGCTCTTAGAACACAGAATATCAGAGCTAGGAGGGCCCTTAGAACA